TTGCTCCTCCAAAGAAGGAGGTGGCTAGCCACCCAATCCACCCCCGCCCTAAATCAACCCCGGCTCTTGTTACCTTATATACCTCGCATAATATTTACCTGTACATACCGTGCCATCACCAGAATACCCGGACACACAAGTGCAGGTATAGTAGCCACCATAATTGGTGCAATACGCGTCTTCGTGACAATTGTGAGTTTGCTCAACACATTCGTCGACACCTGAACATAAACAAAGCGTATCATTAGTCAGCCATACAGCTGAACCCTTCCCCCTCAAAACTCGGCCGTGAAATGAAACAAAATGGCAGCGTTTCAGGTGCTATTTTCGAGATTTCGTCGGGGCACAAAAAAAATAGAGGATTAAACCAAACTCATATTTTTTTGGTAGACGTATTTCGAATTACAAGTAAATGTACTTCAGCGAAAACAAAAATTTTGGGATTAGATTCGTGAACAACAACAACAACAGTTTATGCGTAGCCTAAAGAAAATAAGATTTACTTACAAAAGAAGGATCTAATTACCGAAAGATCGTATGGTGAGAAATAGCTTTAAAGCCAGCATGGTTTCGCTCTGAACGATCCATCTCCTCACGGTGAAAAACAAAACCAACCGCTCACTAGTAAAAACGATATCAGAATTTTCGAATTGTTTTTGTTGTTGTTTTTGTTTGTTTGTTTTATTTTGTTTTGGATTTTCCTGGCTATGACAGTGAGAATAGTATGAATACCAGAAGGGTCTTGATATTTGAGTTTACTCAAGCATCTTTTATCGGTGTAAATCTGAAACTGTCCTCAGTTACAAGCTGGACTGCTGAGATCTAATTTGTTTGGCATGCGTGCTGTGGTCTTGCTGATTTAGTTAAGGTTAAGAATTATTCGTCGACCGTCTTATGAATCACAAAAGTATTGAATATTGATAAAACAACTGCTGCAAACGGTTGCTAAATATCTCGGGAAATTGCTAAGTCTACATGATACCCTTTATTCATTATCTTAAGCCACATTTATTTCGTCTTCGTACTAAGGATTTTTTTTGAAATTAGCCTTATATTATTCCAAGAGAAAGACTAAATGTAAAAGTTATATGTTTTCTCTCTCTTTACTCTTCTTCCCCAACTCCTCCAGTTTCCGTTTTCAAATTTTATGTGGCAAATTTAAATAGCACTAAAATAACACTAGTTTTGTGTCAATAACAAAACAACTTTGAAAATCAAACGTAAATATAAATAATTTTGAAACCAAACATCAAAACAACTGCGAACCGTACCCAGCAAGAGCGAATCAACTGTGAACTATGAACAGAGGGTGCAGAAAATTGTTTCCATATATTGCAGCATGACAGTTTTCAATTTAGGGAAAATAAAATTTTATTACTCAACCCAGAGGCACTGATAAATACCTGGAATTAACCGGTGGAAACCGAAACAAATTATAACGACGGGACAATTTTATGCTCCGCTTGTCAGGGATAGAAGAAATACTTTGATGGAAAAACTCAAAAACGTTCGAGTTCCTTCGACACACATCGATCACACATTTCATTTCAAGGCGTACTAGGCGTGGGATAAGGTTATAAAAGTACAAACGTGGAAGTATTGGCTAAATTTCCCGCGGCCCCCTTTCCATATTGGAGATACCAACTCGATCGATGGACCTCAATTTCTACCAATACATTGAACTTGGGGGCAGGGGAGTCTTTTATGACACTTGATTGAGACATCATTACTGTTACTACATGGATTGTTGTTGTTGGCTAATTCAATAATTTTTTTTTTTCTTTTTTTGCTATATTTGCATTCCTTTTATGCTCAACTGATGCTAGCTACTTGCCTTGATTAGCTTTTAGTGACAATGAGTACGTGTAACTTCACCTAATATTTTGTACTAAAATAAACGCTATTAATTGATATGTCAGAAACGGTAGTAAAGTCGTCAAGTGAGCAAATATGGATAGAATAACGGACTGTCGAGCTCAGTTCACATTAAAAGATGTTAAACCGTCAATGCAGTCTTCTGGGATGACATTTCCGTGTTCGTTTAGCAGGCGTCAAGCTAATGACTATCCTCTTGGACTCGCGGGCAAGAAGTCTCGAGTTGCCCGGATAAGAGTCGTTTCCACTCTAAAAGCTATTTGATTTTACAAATAACTTGACGTATTCTATTGATACATGCTTATGAAGGAGAAGTACTTTAATCATCACTTAGCGTTCAAGAGGGACCGTGCCACAGAGAAAATTGGAAAGATTTACAAATAACGTCCGCGTTTCTAATGGCATAATTTCATTAATGCTGATTCTTAAACTGAACATAAAAATGGCGCAGAGCAAAATAGAAGTTTTAGAAAAAAAATAGATTTCCAATAACCCTTGAGCGAGCAAGATTGTTACGACACGGCCTTTGAGAAATAAACGACTTCGCCTGATTCTAAACTCAGGTGGCCTCTAGATTTAGGAAGAACGGGGAGGATGAGACTCGGTTCGTGTACACTTTCACAGCCACGTAAAATCTAAAACATCGTTTTGTAAAGGCCACTTTTTTCCGGAGTTAATCTGGCACTCAGTTTGACTGTTTCTCTGTTTGTAGCTTTAAAAATCATTATAACTACTTAGATTAGCTTACCTTGCACCAAGCTCTGAAGCTCTAGCCAAACGGCACAGAGGAAAACTACCTGCGAGATAAAATGACCAATGTTACTAAAGCAAACCTAAAATTCTCCGGAAACATAATTTAAAAAAGTGAAAAAGAATCAAACCTTCATCTCCCATATGAAAAGATTCATTGCTTCTTTCGAAAGAATTGATAATGTGGCTTAGGACCTCATGACGAGGTAAGGTAAAATATTGTTCTACTCACTGTTGGCGGGCGATTAAACGTAAACAGCGTCAATGGTTACACAATAACAAATGTGAAAGCAAAAAGCTGGAATCTGTCACCACTCGCCGGTTAATTCTGGGTAATTTCTACTTTCATTAAAGCAGCGTAAATACATTACATGGATATTGTGTTTATCTATCTTGAAAAACGAGAGACTGTTTTTTTTCAGGAACACGAAATTGCATCCTGTTTGAAAGCTGCAAGCAGGTTTCAAGCTAATTATATGTCAGCTTGACTCCTCCGTGTCAATCGTTTCTTTAATCAATGGCGTGTGAAAAGATAAACAATATCTGGTTACCTTACAACTACCCGGCAAAACAAAAAAAGGGCGAAAAAAGCGACTTCTGCTCGTATTAGTTCGCGTTGTTTAGTTCATGAAGCTAACCAAAGGACAGTCACCCGGCATTTTAACAACCGACAGTAGTAAAAAAAGAATTAAATGTTAGTGAAATTTTGATAATGGCAGGGAGTCTCCTGGAGTATTTCATTTTTGCATTGCTGCCAGGATGTTTTGCTGACAAGTATCGTGTGTCAGTCAAAACAGGTGAACTAACGTTACATCATCAAAAAAGGTGGTTGCCTCATGCATAGGTAATTCCCGGTTTAGTTTCTATACAGGTAGTGCATAGTTGGCAAACTTGAAGTTTGCAAGTGGCCGAAAAAGCACAAAATTTACAAAATTGTTCAGAACGTTCTATGTCAAGCTTACTCTATAACGAGAAACGGAGAAAAGAGAAACGGAAAACTTTGAGGGGAAATTTTAAATGGATATTTTAAGCACCATTAACATTGTGAAATGTGTGACAATTTCCACTAAGGTTTGAAGAACTTTAAAATTCTTTTCCGCAAGGTAGAAATCAGAGGTAAATTACTTCTTAGTGTTTCATGTTAATGTTCACAGTAATTTTGGTAATAATTAAACGAAGCAAAACATTTTGATTCAGTTTTATGTATATATCTCATATATTTACATGTGAAATTTTCTACTTTTTTACATTACATTGATTTACCTATTTGCGCAAATTAAGATATGAGTTCACCGCTTTCAGAAGATGTTTAACCCTGGTGCTACAAAGCTCAGCTTAATTTTCCATCATGAAGTAATAATGTGACTACGAAGTAAATTGTTTAGGGAATCATTCCACCCAATGATTAACAATCAAATTTCTTCAATTATGAAACATCTGCATGGATCTCATAAAGCCAATCAAAGTTAATTCTTCCAGGGAAAAAATCTCGGGGCTGTAAAATAGCGTGTTACCTAAATTCTCACTTATTCGCTTTTTTACACAATAAAATTAAATGTATCTCGTGGAAAAAGAGGCTACTTAAGTTGGTGTTTTGCCTCACTTTTTTGTTTTTCTGTTATTCTGGCACACATCAAAGACCTGTTATCTTGCAAATATTCTGATGTTATTTTTGGTGTTTTGTTGTGAACATTTCGACCACTCTTTATCTGCGAATAAAGTTTATAGGTGTTGCGGTCAAGTGCAACTTGTAGCCAGGTGATATCGCAAGGAAACAAGTGGATATCACCATAACTAATTAAATGTGTTAAATTTATTAATGTACCCCCTTTGAAGCAACTAAAACTGAAGAACTAGTTATCGAGGATTGCTACGATTATAGAAAACCCTGAACATGAGAAAAAAAAACTCTAAAAATCAAGTTCTTGTAAATAAGAGTCCAATCTTCATGAAAAACTTCGACTTTGTATTTAAGATTCAAAGTTTGTTCCGTTTTCATTTTCTTGCATGAAGTCATCGAAACCCCACTGAGATAGTCATCGTCCCCATCAGCGAGAAACAAAATGACTTTACTCTGTGGTAGCAATTGAGAGATTCAAATTTGCTGTGAATCGTTTTCTACTGCGCTTATTCAAGTCTGAACTGATCACCAGCCAGTCAGACTGAACTCAAGATTTGTGGAGCTTGTAATGGTGTTACATTAATAAATAATAAGAGCCGCAACCGAAGGGCCGTTGTGAAACAAATTAATTAGTAAACATTTCCAGTAAGTTCTCTATCAGTGTCATCCAAAGCCTTGGTCACCAAGTTAATCCCTCATTTCTTGATTTAGGGAGCTCAATTTGGTGCTTTATATCGTTTCGCTATTCAGACCAACAGTCGCCTCTTATCACTTGGCTAACATTTTCAACTTTTTCATCGCAATTTGAATTTTACGCAATATTAAAAAATTACATAGCATTACTGCTCGACAGCTTTGATTATATTTGTCACACAGCAAGGTTTCCCCTTATGAAATTCTTGAATGATTTCTTTCCTAGATCATTCGCTGCCACATACCCTGTAATCAGTAATTCTTAGATAACAAAAGGAAAATATTTGCCTTGTTTC